AGTGGGATCATTTTCTACTGCCTATTTAAGTACGGGACCCGTACATACGTCTTGTATTTTCTATTCATACGGGATTCCGACTAAACTGATTAGGGCTATTAAAGTACTGACTCGAAACGCTTAGCTTTTAAGTAGGGGTACGGTTGTTTTTATATGAGTAAACTCAAACTCCATCTAGCAGTGAGTTACTACTCCGTGGTAGAGTGGTTAGGTTACCAACTGTGGACTCTACACCCCAGGATCGGTTCTCAATCTTGCCACATGGAATTTTTCTTCTTTTCAAAATTTGCCACTGAAATTTTTTTTGCTTAAAAATGGAACAGTGGTTGAAGAGACTTACACTTTCATGGAAATTTGTTGATCAGAAATTTCAAGAGACTTGAAAATTTCATATAAATTTCAAGTAGAGACTTGATCCCGTATGTCATAGCAAATACATGTCGGTGTCAGGTCCTGTACGAATAGCGGCACTGTGTCAATGTAATGAAGCAACTGCATGTTGTTAATAACAGTGATCTTCTCATATTTTAAATGCAACACTGCTTTTAAAAGATAAATGGCAGACAGCCTTACTAAAAAATAATTTTCTATATTTATTTTTTTTAACAGGATCATTTTTTTATTAAGCACTCAAAACATTCCTCTTTATAGTTAGCAATAAAATTTCTTACACTGGGACTTTCAGCGTCGCCTGTCGGTGAACAATACTTTTGCACTGTCTGTGTAATTTAAACTAAATGCACTATTTTGCTTTTAGAAAGCTTCCAAATGTTTCCTATTTTTCTATCCAATAAAAAGTGCAGACTTGAACATGTGGTTAACGAGTTGATGAGCTGCTTGATTACTGAATTTCAATGTATTTTCTCATACAAACTGCATGGCATTCTATCGAACTCCATGGACACGCTATGGCATTCCATGAAACTGCATCAGCACTTCAGGGAACCCCATGGTATTCCATGGAACTCTACAATATACCCTGGAATTCCATGGACCTCGAAGGAAACTCCATGGAATTTCATGGCATGCCATGGAACTCCATCACTACTTCATGGAACTCCGTGGAACTCCATGGCATTCCATAGAGCTCCATGGATACTCCATGGCATTCCATGGAACTCCATGGATACTCCATGGAAGTTCCGTGGAATTCCATGGATTTCCATCCATTTACATGGAATGCCATGGATTTCCATGGAGGTATTTCACACGGGATGACGTGCTTTGTTTTCGATTTGACTGTGAGATACTTATTAATGGATAGTTTGATATTGTTTTTTCGAGATTCTAGAAGTATAATCGGAGATTAGGGAAGATACCTAGGTATTCAGTTCAGTTCTTAATTAAAAGAATATGGCTTGCGATAATCACCATTATATTGCGTCTTAAGTCCAGTCAGTGGTAGAATATGGATGGATGACCCAAGAAAAGATTTTCCCTCTCTTTCGTTACTGTTTTATGGGACAGGCTTTCGGTAGGCGCGTAGCTTGAGATTTTGAAGGTGTTCGCTCGGAAAGAAAGGTTACGTTAGACCGCCGAGGGCACCTCAAATTAAAGTATGGGGGTCTGGGGGCATGCTCCCCCATAAAATATTTGAAAGTTTAGGGGCTCAGAAATGCAATTTTCCTGCGTTTTTCACAGGACATTTTCGCTAAATAAATACGAAGGAAAACGCAATAATTACATCACTAGTGTTATCGGTAAGGTACAGTGTTTACAGAAAAAAGTAAAACAGTGACCAGACGTCTAACTTTTAAAAAAGCTGACGTCGTTTTTTTAACGTCTCCGGGGAGAAGAGATTGCAAAAAATTCTGCAGAAAAGCTCTCAACAACTGACTTAGCCTGATTAAGTAAGGTCGGTAGAAACGGTTTGCGAAGTGTAATAAATATGGGGATTCAGTCACTGCATAACGAGCTGCACGGTCTTAGCAACCAAAAAAACCCCTCAGTATCCAGCTGAGATAGCTGAGTAAAAGTCAGCTATCTCAGCTGGATACCCAGTAGCTTGCAACATTCCCTATTCCCTTAATCTCTGATCGTATTTCGCATCTAATATGATAGAGGCGTCAATTTTCACGCAATCATGTCATCATCCTGGGGCGACAAATAAAATTAATTAAAAATGCGGTATCAAACAAAATGTCCGGAAAAAATAATTCAGTGCCTTCTAAAAAGAACATTTTGAAGTCTGCGGTCGATTTCATTGCCAACGTGTTATATATCCTAGAAGCGCTCAGGCATAATAACATCATGCCAGGACTTCTACCTGGATGAACCAGAAAGGATATAGAACAACAGCCTAATTTTTTTTTTCGGTTACGGGTCGAAACGCTAAACGTGTTATATATCCCAGAAGCGCTCAGGCATAATAACATCATGCCAGGACTTCTACCTGGGTGAACCAGAAAGGATATAGAACAACAGCCTAATTTCTTTTTTTCGGCTACGGATCGAAATGCTAAACGTGTTATATATCCTAGAAGCGCTCAGGCATAATAACATCATGCCAGGACTTCTACCTGGGTGAACCAGAAAGGATATAGAACAACAGCCTAATTTCTTTTTTTCGGCTACGGGTCGAAATGCTAAACGTGTTATATATCCTAGAAGCGCTCAGGCATAATAACATCATGCCAGGACTTCTACCTGGGTGAACCAGAAAGGATATAGAACAACAGCCTAATTTCTTTTTTTCGGCTACGGATCGAAATGCTAAACGTGTTATATATCCTAGAAGCGCTCAGGCATAATAACATCATGCCAGGACTTCTACCTGGGTGAACCAGAAAGGATATAGAACAACAGCCTAATTTCTTTTTTTCGGCTACGGGTCGAAACGCTAAACGTGTTATATATCCCAGAAGCGCTCAGGCATAATAACATCATGCCAGGACTTCTACCTGGATGAACCAGAAAGGATATAGAACAACTGCCTAAATTTTTTTTTTTGCGGCTACGGGTAGAAATGCTAAACGTGTTACATATTCTAGAAGTGCTCAGGCATAACTATATCATGCCGGGACTTCTACCTGGATGAACCAGAAAGGATATAGAACAACTGCCTAAATTTTTTTTTTACGGCTACGGGTCGAAATGCTAAACGTGTTATATATCCTAGAAGCGCTCAGGCATAATTATATCATGCCAGGACTTCTACCTGGATGAACCAGAAAGGATATAGAACAACTGCCTTTTTTTCCTACGCGTCGAAGTTCTAAACGTGGTATTCTTAGAAGCGCTCAGGCTTAATAATATGCCAGGTTTCCAGCGACTGATTTTAGCTGATTTTGCGGTGCGCAAGAATAGATAATTTACCCGACTTGTAAACAGATATTTCCTTCAGCCGATTGTGTCTCATGCAGGAGAATGTCATGTCTGCGTTGTTTTGTTTCTACTGAAGTTTTATCAAAGAAAGCTTAATAGGGAGATCGCAATTTATACTCTTACGAACTATAAATTAGGGCTGACCTGGAAGAAGCGTTGAATTGTGCCGCCATCCTTCAAAATATAATCTGGCTGCGTTTAGGGAGACAATTTCCTCTTCCATCCAGATTTACTTGGTATATGTGTTTGCGAGAATCTTCAGACAAAGAATTGGGTCTACACTGATTCGAATGGCTTGGCGATACTAAGTGCTTAAGTCTACTTACCGATTACAACATGTTTTGGAAGTATTGAGAAGCGCGCCAAACGAGGTTGTCACAGCGTTCTCGAGCGAACACGGCGCGACCTGGATTGATAAAATTACTTTTACATGCAGCTATCATGCCAGTGATTTCTCCTTTCGTCGCATAGTGAATAGTTTGTGAGCACATCCTCGACTCTCGAAACATTTGTCTTGCGCCGCTATAGAAGTTGCTTCTCCCGCGAACCATAGGTAGATTTCCCGCTTAACATAATGTTTGATAATTTATGCAAAAGTTGACCTCGTGAAAGTCAGCAGTGCATTAATCGACTCAAAAATAAACAGACTTCCTACAGGGTTTTGAACACGGTTTTAATTAAAGTACTTTACGAGCGCTGCGGTAGTTGACCGCAAAAGTGTTACGGTGATGGATACTCAACTGGATGATTACGTCACTTCATAGCAACCAGACGGTACGAATTTTTTAACTTCCGGAGCGCTGAGGCTCGTAGTGAAACAAAGAAAGCCTCGTAGAAGTCTTCTCTTCCATACTTTTATTAAGGTTCAGTACGTGATCTCATTTTATCAGGAAAAATAAATATATCATTTTCATTGTATTTTTCTCTTGCGAAGGGGTGGTTGAAGGCCCCATTATACTAGTCCAGTGACCTATTACATTTCGCTACAATGTAGACCTTTTCTTGAAGTAAAAAATCTATTCACTATTAATAAATAATGCCCGCCAAGAATTTTTGGTATTAATATAATAAGCGAAACTTTTTAAAGCATGTTCCAATTTATCACATAGCCATAGAACGAAAGGGACAAAGACAGGGGAGGCCATTGGAATAACAACAATATCACACAAACGTTAAGTTGGCATGTTCGGCTCAAACTCATCCGAAGGAATATCCGTGTTTCATTAACGATAAAAGATTTCAGCAGTTTGAGAAAGAAAAAGAAGCGGATATTGAGTTTATATGAGTCTGGATTTGAAGGAAGAGCTAGCAATTTTTTCGCGTTATAACTTTCACGCTTACGTTGGGTGTTCCGTCTGAAATGTTGCCTTTGGCGAAGGATTGTGAACGTGAACTCTGATTTTTGTATGCACTTGTACCTTTTGCCCGCGGTTCAGTCTTTGTATCAGGAATCAGCGAGTTTCTATTTATCATTGAAGAAGAACATTTACAACAGCTTGACAGTAAATTAAGTTTTTACAAGATGGTTTTCATTACAGGGAAACTCTTTAGTGCTAGCACATCGCATGCTAACAACAATTTCATTTAAGCTGAGAAAAATTGACTCAAAACATTGTTATCGCTTTATTATATTTGTGTCCATAACTTAAATTTCTTGATTCTGATAATTTCCTGAAGTTCATGAAAAACTTTTAGTTACAGCTTTTTGGCGTTTAATTTATGAAGCTAACCTTGCGCTTTTACACTGAACAGCTATAAACAATTTGGTTATGAGCAGTGTTACCTGTATGAATTATCCAACAGCAGTAAGGAATTTAGATAACGGTTTGCACACGTACGGTAAGACACAAAAATAAAGATAAATAAATGAATAAATAAATAAATAAAAATACCTAGGCTCGATTACCAGCCGCTGTTCAGGAAGTGAGAGCACGAGAACCTGAAAAGAGTCTAAAACTTACCTAGGTGAAAAAAATTGCCATGAAAGAGGTAAATGAAGTATTCATTCAAGTCTATATAAAGTTTTTATATACACTGTATTGCCGAGTTTCTTCACCTTTTTCTTTTGTCACTGGTGTGGATGGGGTAATATGTTTCTCAGTATTTCCATGATAGCATGTCGAACATGTCTCATCTTCCAGGAGTAGATCAGGGGGTTGAGAGATGAATTAAGGAGCATCAGCGTGTTAGCATAAAGTCCAAACTGGAATAGCATCGTACTTAATCCAGCGCTTCTAAGGATAATCGAGAAACATGTGGATGGCAGATAACAAATCAGAAACACCAAATACACGTAGAATGTGCCAACTGCAGCTTTTCTCTCCCTCGCAGCTTTAGTCATGTCTCCTCCATTATTCTGTGCTAGCTGTGCTTGCAGGACGTGAATGTGATTGCTGTGGTGACGTACAGCTAAGAAGATCTTGAAATAAGACAAGGCTGTAGTTAGGTAACAAACGCTTGTAACAGGTACAAAAATAATCCAGAGAGCATTTGGAATCCATATGGACAACAACATCAGAATCGCACTTATGATCCAAATCGAGATCACTAAAGCAACAACGCGCTTTTGAGTCACAAGTTCCTGGTATCTGAGATGGAGATGAAGAGCCAATAATCTGTCTGCGGCTAGAGCTACAACACCAAGGAACGAGGCAGAAGCGAGGAACCACTTTGTGGAGAAAAAAAATTTCAAAGTAATCTCAAAAGTTCGAGTTTGAGCGTTTTCTTTTATCATCATGACAAGACGTGTAATGTACAAAGGTTGAACCAGTAAACCAACACCAAGATCAGATACAGCCAGACTCAGCAGGAATATTTTTAGAGCTCTTGGTATCGTCAATGGTTTTCTCAGAGCGATTATTGTTACAATGTTTAGTGTGATGGCGGTAAAACTGAAGAAGGCGTTAAAGACACAGTTGGCGATGAGTAGAGCTTGCATCATTACTCAAATAATGTTTTACCCAAACCTTACAACTCTTTGTGTGTTATTTGAACGAAAATAAAAGAGAAACTCTAACGTATTAATAACGAGTCAAATAAATTTCTTCCATGAATTAAATTTTGTAAACTGACCCTGTATCACCTGCCTGAACTGCTCCTCAGTGAGGAACAAAAGTTAAACCTTTTTGGCATTAAAGATTTCCATATATCGTGTCTTTTGTCTTTTTTTAATTACTTTTACAGTTTTTTCCCAATAAAGTAGAATCCCTTTTATAAAATTGATAAACGGGATACTGAGAAGGCGTTCTTCTAACAAAAAATATCCTACATTTATTACTTTAATGGTCGTAGAAATTGCTTCCATGACTCTACAAAGACTAAACAAAGAAAGTCTCGTAGAAGTCTTCTCTTCCATACTTTTATTAAGGTTCAGTACGTGATCTCATTTTATCAGGAACAATAAATATATCATTTTCATTGTATTTTTCTCTTGCGAAGGGGTGGTGGAAGGTCCCCTTATACTAGTCCAGTGACCTATTACATTTCGGTACTATGTAGACCTTTTCTTGAAGTGAAAATCTATTCACTATTAATAAATAATGCCCGCCAAGAATTTTTGGTATTAATATAATAAGCGAAACTTTTTAAAGCACGTTCCAATTTATCACATAGCCATAGAACGAAAGGGACAAAGGCAGGGGATGCCATTGGAATAACAACAATATCACACAAACGTTAAGTTGGCATGTTCGGCTCAAACTCATCCGAAGGAACATCCGTGTTTCAGTTGAGTTCATATGAATCTGGATTTGAAGGAAGAGCTAGCAATTTTTTCGCGTCATAACTTTCACGCTTACGTTGGGTGTTCCGTCTGAAATGTTGCCTTTGGCGAAGGATTGTGAACGTGAACTCTGATTTTTGTATGCACTTGTATCTTTTGCCCACGGTTCAGTCTTTGTATCAGGAATCAGCGAGTTTCTATTTATCATTGAAGAAGAACATTTACAACAGCTTGACAGTAAATTAAGTTTTTACAAGATGGTTTTCATTACAGAGAAACTCTTAAGTGCTAGCACATCGCATGCTAACAACAATTTCATTTAAGCTGAGAAAAATTGACTCAAAACATTGTTATCGCTTTATTATATTTGTGTCCATAACTTAAATTTCTTGATTCTGATAATTTCCTGAAATTCATGAAAAACTTTTAGTTACAGCTTTTTGGCGTTTAATTTATGAAGCTAACCTTGCGCTTTTACACTGAACAGCGATAAACAATTTAGTTATGAGCAACGTTACCTGTATGAATTATCCAACAGCAGTAAGGAATTTAGATAACGGTTTGCACACGTACGGTAAGACACAAAAATAAAGATAAATAAATGAATAAATAAATAAATAAAAATACCTAGGCTCGATTACCAGCCGCTGTTCAGGAAGTGAGAGCACGCTCTGAAAATCTGAAAAGAGTCTAAAACTTACCTAGGTGAAAAAACAACGCGCTTTTGAGTCACAAGTTCCTGGTATCTGAGATGGAGATGAAGAGCCAATAATATGTCTGTGGCTAGAGCTACAACACCAAAGAACAAGGCAGAAGCGAGGAACCACTTTGTGGAGAAAAAAAATTTCAAAGTAATCTCAAAAGTTCGAGTTTGAGCGTTTTCTTTTATCATCATGACAAGACGTGTAATGTACAAAGGTTGAACCAGTAAACCAACACCAAGATCAGATACAGCCAGAATCAGCAGGAGTATTTTTACAGCTCTTGGTATCGTCAATGGTTTTCTCAGAGCGATTATTGTTACAATGTTTAGTGTGATGGCGGTAAAACTGAAAAAGCCGTTGAAGACACAGTTGGCGATGAGTAGAGCTTGCATCATTACTCGAATAATGTTTTACCCAAACCTTACAACTCTTTGTGTGTTATTTGAACGAAAATAAAAGAGAAACTCTAACGTATTAATAACGAGTCAAATAAATTTCTTCCATGAATTAAATTTTTTAAACTGACCCTGTATCACCTGCCTGAACTGCTCCTCAGTGAGGAACAAAAGTTAAACCTTTTTGGCATTAAAGATTTCCATATATCGTGTCTTTTGTCTTTTTTTAATTACTTTTACAATTTTTTTTCAATAAAGTAGAATCCCTTTTATAAAACTGACAAACGGGATACTTAGAAGGCGTTCTTCTAACAAAAAATATCCTACATTTTTTACTTTAATGGTCGTAGAAATTGCTTCCATGACTCTTATTAAAACCTTTACTCACCTGCCTAAGCTGTAATTCTCAGTGAGGAGCAACGTTGTGTTGTATTATTAAAGGCAATTACTTTGATCAAACATTAAAACCTTTTCGGCAATAATGTTCTTCATTCATCTATAGTCCTTTGCCTTTATTTTCTATTTTTTTAAAAATAATTAAAGAGAATCCGTTTTAGAAAAGGATTTTACTGGAAAAAAACGAGCAATTCCGGATCGGTTCAACTTTTTGTGGAAATTCACTGATCAACATGTGATCGTGCTTTGTTTCACTGACATTTGACAGAGACTTTTGCTGGATATCGTTTTCTGGAGAACCTAGTATAATGGAAGATGAGTAAAAATACCACAGTCACTTCTGATCAGTTTTGACCTGAAAACGGGGAACTCACCGCGACAAGGCGCCTTAATTTCAATCATGAGTGAAAAATGGATAGATGCCCCAAAATATGATTTTCCGTTCGCTTTCAGTTCCCCTTCATGTCGCTGTGTTTTATGGGAATCGGGCTTTAAATATATCTCTCAGTAAAAATGCAACCAGTAATATCGCTAAATGTAAAATAAATAAATAATGATTTACAAGTAGCACATCCACTGAGTGGTTCTTCGTCTACCTGATTCCTGGTTGGTTGGTTTTTGAACAGTGGGGAAAACCAGAGCACCCGGAGAAAAACCTCTCGGAGCAAAGGAGAGAACCAACAACAAACTCAACCCACATGCAGCGTCGACACCAGGACTCGAACACGAGCCACATTTGTGGGAGGCGAGTGCTCTCACCATTGCGACACCCTTGCTCCCCACTAGTGTGGTAATATGTTTCTCAGTATTTCTCAGTTTTTCAGTATTTCCATAATAGCACGTCGAACATGTCTCATCTTCCAGGACGATAGATCGGAGGAAATCGAACCTTATAATTAACTAGATGACAAAATTTGCTATGAAAAGAGGTAAATGAAGGATTTTATATTCGCTGATTTATTACTGAGTTTGTTTCTTTCTTAGTTTTTTTCTTGTCACTGGTGTGGAGGTGCATGGTAATATGTTTCTTAGTATTTCCATGATAGCTTGTCGAATATAGCTCATCTCCTTTGAGGTACACCAGGGTGGTAACATATTGTCCAAAGTTCCTTAACACCGCACTTGGCCCAGTGCTTATGTGGATAATCCAGTATCACGTACTTGATAACAAATCAGAAACACAAGATACACGTAGAATGTGCCAACTGCAGCTTTTCCCTCCCTCGCAGCATTAGCCATGTCTCCCCGATTATTCTGTGGTAGCTGTTCTTCTAAGACGTGAATTTGATTGCTGTGGTGATGTGTAGCTTAGTAAATCTTTAAATAAATAAGTTGTGAATAAGGTAGTTTTTATCACATAGAAACAGTATTTACTTGGTATACCTTGTGCACTTAAAAGTTTCCTATGAAAAATGTGTGGTCTATCATCTGATATAGCTTCCATAATTTTTGTTCTACAA